TTGTACATAAAAATTTAAATCGCTGTAATAATTATTCTATAAATAAAATAAACACGATAGTTAAAAAAGTCAATAAAAATAAGGATAATTAAATAATATCGAAAAAATAACAATAAAGGTGTAAACCTCTAACTTAGAATATCAATTTATATTTAATTATTTATTTTTAATGCCTTTATTAAAATAATAATCAGCTCAACAAATATAACTTATATTTATTATCATATTAACTTACTTAAAACAACTTATATTTATTGTATTGTTTTAAGTATGTTAAAGTAAAAGTTTATCATAAAGATTTACATAAAATGTATTCAAACATTTTTTTAAAGAACACTATCTATATTTTAACAGTGTCAGGAATTTTTTTTATTTATCTATAAAATTATTAATACATTAAAATTTGCTCAATGGAGTATTTAGTGTTTAATTTTTAGTTCACAACGACGGTAACTGTAATCTAAATTAACATAAAATAACAACATTACTATTTCTCCTAAGGTGACCTAAAATTCAAATTTCGAATATGTAAATAATATCCATAAATTTATCAAAGTTAAATATAATTCAGATAAGAATTACTCAATTAATCAAACAAATTTACATAACAGTGAACTTTAATAATAGTTTACTGTTTTTAAAATTTTTTCCTATGAATTCAAATAATCATACTTAATTGAATTTATAAGGAGAGTTATAAATACTTTCTTATCAAAACTTCTTATATTATTCATAATACTAATTATAAATCTTATTCTTAAATCAATATTGACTAATTAACAGTAACATTTTGTGTGTTATTTATTTAATTATTTAAAATCATGTATTAACAATTAAAAAGGAGCCTTATCTCTAAAATAAACAAAAAATGGTTTTTTGGTAGTTTTATCCTTTTATTTACTTTTTTTATTTTTATCAAGATTAATATCAAATAATTGTTCATAATATGAGTATGCTGGACGTTTGGTTATGCAATTTCAAACAGTTAAAAATGTAGTAATGATTCAACAGTTATTCATTATTTTTTATATTGATATGATACTTTTTTCGATTTTTGCGATATTTTTTACTAATAAGTCTATATCTGTTCCAACTATGCCACGTCCACACTGTGCTACCGTTTTTAATATATTTTATTTTAATATATTCCTTATCTAATCTAAAAAAATTATTAATGAATCTAAATCATTAAATTTATATAGTATTTAATGCTCGAGGTATTTGAGGGATGACATATATTCTAAATTCCAATTTTTTAATCTAAAAATTAATTCTTCAAGTATAAGTATTGGATGTTTTTGTAATTTGTGTTATAATTATGTGATCATGAATCATAAATGAATTACTCTGTACATTGTATCTTCTAAATGTCTTAAAACCCTAATTATAATTATAAATTATAATACTATAGTGTTATAGAATACATTTTAATTACATGTATAAAATATTGTTCTAAAAATGTTAATATGTTGTTGATACTTAATGAAGTGAATTATTGCAAAGCAAAACTATAATTGAAAAAAAATTTATATTATTCGAAAAATTTACCATAGTTTTAAATTAATATTGTTGTTATGAATTTAAACAATTGGACTTTTAGTGGAAAATACATAAAAAATTTAAGTCGTAAATTAAATTATTGTTGAACCTCATATTAGACAATATACTCGTAAAATTATAGTTGAAAAATGGTTAAAATTCCTTTAATTGTGGTACTGTGAAGCTTATAGCTTATTGCGTGTTAACAATCTTCTTTGGGATATTCTGTAATATACAATTTATCGGTTGTAGTTATTTTAGAGAGGCACCAGGATATGATGATGGACTTCAAGAAACAGAAGAACTTAAAGTAGCATTCAATGTTGATACTGGATTATCTTATAAATCTAACCCTGAAATGTTTAAAGTGGAATTAGATAATTTGGATGATATGATAATCAAGGAAGCTGAACTAGGATTTACTTACTATACCAGACCACACATTATATACAACGATCTTTATTGCGGTGATTTATATAATTTTTTACAATACATATGCTCTTATTCAATCCTTAATAGAACGTAATTCTACTTATGAATACGATCATTTATTGTTGAATGAATCAATTATTTATCACATGCCAGCTGTAAAGTTAAAGATAGATCTACTAACAGAATTTTTACAGCCTTTTTGGAATATGCACATGTTTGCAATTTATATAAAAAATCCAAACGATGAACAATCTTATATCGATGATATTACATGTTACGATAATTCTAGAAAACATAAAGAATTGTTTATCGTTTTATATAACTAAATACTGTCAAAAAAATAATAAATACAATGTATCAGCTAAAATTGACGAACTAAAAAAAAAGAAGATTTCAATGATAGAAAAAGTAAAGGCAGTAATGGTAAATAGAAATAATATTAATAATATTTTACTGCACGGTGAAGAAGTAGAAGATTGGGTTTCTCTTAAGAAAATGTATCTTAACAAAATTATTCAAAATACAGTCATTTTGAAAACTATAATAATGGATTTTGGGGAACAAAGTGAGAAAATTACGAAGATATTATCAAAGATATTAATGTTGCATATCAAGCTGCAAAGAATTATTATGGTTTGATATATAGATTCCAAAAATTAGAGTTTATCATAATAAATTCTTTAACATTTTTAGAGCCGTAACTTTACATTTGATTAGAAAGCATATAATGTATTTAATAAATAAGGATAGAAAAATTGTTTCAGTATAATAAACAAATGTGTAATTTTTTGAGACGTAATAAGTATACATTTAATTTTTTATTTCCTAAATATTCAAAATTCCTAGATTTGTTTTTATATGAACCAGGTTATGACTTTGAAAGCTATGATCATTTAAATAATGGTCTTATCGGAAAAGTCGAATACATGATAGAAAAATCATTTCTTGTTGAGTCATTTTAAATATTACAAATAGAATTAAATAACGAAATATATAACATGAATTCAATTGAGAAAACTAATACACTAATGAAATTAGTTCAAATAAGCAAAGAAAAAATAGAAGTTTGTCAAAGTATTTCTGAAAACATAGGCTTGAAAGATAACTTCGAAAGGTTTAATATATTTTTAGAATATTTTATGAATATATTTAAGCATAAACTTAATATTTTTTGGTCGTTCAGAAAATTTAGTTTGAACTACACAATAACTAAATATCAGGAGCATCAAGAAGAAAGATTTCTTGATCTGTAATATATATATATACAGAATGGAACGGATCTAACTGACAACTCATATAACTTATGATCTACATAACATGTTATACTTTTTTTTCTTAATCAATTTTTACAATATAGAACTATATTTAAAATATGTTTTATGTTATTTTTCGCAATTACAAAAAATATTTTAAAAAATAATATTTTTATTAAAATTTTTTTAAGATTTGAAGATAGCCATTTTATAGATAAGTTTTAAAGAAAAATTTTGATACCAAAAACTCTTATTTTAATTCAGTAGTTACGTTTATATAACATTTTGAAGTTTGTTAAATTTTGATTTTTTTTTATAATTTTCCTTTCGTATCAAATGTTAGTCTATATTATTTAAAGTACAGAAGTAATCACTTATTACATTATTTACTGGTAGAAATTAAGTCATCAATATAATTTTTTTTTGAACTTCTAGTACATAAAATAAGCTTTATTTTAATATATATTTAAAAGACTCAGATTTTCATAAGTTAAGTTGAAAAAGTTCTACTTTCTTTACAAATTTTCAAGTTTTCATAAATTCCAAAAAAATTTTCTTAACTTTGAAGTGGCAAAATAATCAAAAAAGTATACATTTATATTTAATGTAAGTTAGATTCGTGTAAATTTGATATTTATTGGTGGACATATTTCTATGGCAAACCCTTATAAAGTATTTTAAAATAAACAAAAAAATTAATTAATTAAAATTTGAACACAAAAATAGCATGTTTTTGAACTACGGCAGCCATTTGCATAAAGAAGACACGTCGTCGATAGCTTTAATTTTACATTTTTTAAGAATGCATTGTTTCCGGGACATTTTTAAAATTTAAGTTGAAAAAGTTGAATTTTGTAAAAAAATTCACTATTTTGAATCCCCTCTTGTTGGCAGGTAAAGGGTCAGATTTTCAAAAAAATTATATCAAATAAAAGGGAAATGCATGAGATTTCAATATAAAAAAAAATTATTTTGGTTCGTTTATTATTCAATAAGTTATGGAAGTTTTAAGTACAAAAATAACATTGATTTTTTACACGAAAATTACACTTTTTGTTCAATTTTGACGGTCATTTGCACATAAAAAATGGTCGTTTGGACAAATTTTTTTTTACGTATAGTACATAATGTAAGCTTTAATTTAACATATGTTTAAAGGACGCAATAATTTCGGAACATTTTCAAAAATTAAGTTGAAAAAGTTTTACTTTTTATGTGTATGTTTCAAGTTTTGAACAGCCCCTGTATAACGAGAGATAATTTTTTAATTATTGAGGATAATGTCTTCTACTAGATACAATTTGTGATCTTTTGACGTATTGTAGAGAAAAATCGGTCCAGTGAGAGCTGAGAAAAAGTAGTGACAGGCTTAAAAAAAAATAAATAAAAATTCATGGTAAAATCAATACCTTTTCAGCTTCGCATCAAAGCTAATAATATGTATTATTGAGAGTAAAATGTATAAATTACCGGGTTTTTTTAGTATGATCACTAAAATCTACCAAAAAATAACTTAAGCCGCTTTTTAGCTTAGTAACAACCAAGAGGACTGAGTACTGTTCATTATATATTTGCCCCCCTGTAAAAAATAGTTCTGGCGCCCCTGATTGTTAAGTTATCCTTAACAATGATAGTAATATGATGATGTAATTAGTACATTGAAACATTCCCAAACTTAATTATATTAGCTTTTAAGTATATATATATATATATATATTCAGAACTAAAAAAGTCAATATTCAATATAATTATTGTAATTTTGTTTTTGTTTTTCAGTTTTATCTACTGTAAGCTGGGAAGATTGGTGGACGTACGACGGGATTTCAGGTAATAAATGTTAAAAATATTTTATCTATAGGGAAAGAAGTTGGCGGCTAATATATCTATCTATTTCAGAGTCCTGAGAAAAATAAACTACAATTATAATTAGAGCCTGCCATCATTTTTTTAGAGCGCAAAGGATCTTTATTAATTTAAAAATTATTTTAAATTTTTTTTTACCAAAATATTTTGCTCGGAATTGCTAATTAACATAATATTTATGAGCAAAAACAGTCATCAAATCAAATTTTTTTTATTTATGCTTAACAAGATTAATAAAAAAAAGACTGGGTTGCGATTTTGAAAAACTAAAGTTGATACTGATTAGAGGGTTAAGGATTGTAATTGGTATCTTTATTTTTCTTGTCAAGTAGCTCAACAAAATCTTATAACAAATAAAATAATTGCATATATGATAACACTAATATTTTTAAAGAACATTTGTGAGGAATAGTTCAATAGGCATAGTCAATCACTCTGTATACGATTATGTGAATATGATTCAATAAGAATATAAAAATATAATATAAGTACAAAATACAATAATATGAAACATATATAATCAAAACATAGACAAAAAAGTACACATATAAAAACACAAAACATGAAAATAAATAATAATAAAAATCATTATGGTATTATAGGATTCATGAGTTGATTCCATAACCAGCTTAATATTTTCTTTTAGTTACATTAGAAGGTGAAATTTTTAAGTTAATAAACCTAAAAAGTCAGATGATTTCCGAAACGTGTCTATTGGTGTGTTTTGTAAGAAGAAAATGATTTTAATTTCACGAGACTTGTCTGATGAAAAAAAATAACAAAGAAAATATATAACAGATAAAAATTAGACCAAAGCTATTTTATTTAGCTGCCTTTTTTTCTTTGAGGAATATTGTTTTACATCCATACAGTACTAGGTTTGACTTAGTACTAGATTTAGACAACTACAAAATTAACTAAGGAGTCTCAAACCGAAAAAAAAAAAGAAACGTAAAGTCTCGCTTAGAATAACATTTAAATAAAATAAGACAACATAGCAAACTATTATTATAATTTAATAAATTAATTAAATAATAAAAAAAAAGTTTTGAAATTTTATTTTAGTTAGCATTAAGTTAAGTTTTGAAGTTATTATTAAATTAGAAAAAATTACAAAAATTGATCATAACAACCAATAAATGTACTTCAGTTTAGCAAAACACACTCGATTACTCGCAGAATAAAAATAATTTTGAAATTATTTATTTGTTACGTTTAGTTACACATCGTTCTAAAATTATTTACTTCGTAAACTTTATGCTTTGTAGGATAAATGTTAAATGGATAATATGTTTTTTCAATTGAAACACAAATTCAATCAAATTAATTTAACATAATAATACAAAAGGGCTAATATCTTTCAAGCGCTGTTTCAAAAGTTATCGACTAATCAGTTTTTTAGTTATATCATTTTATAAATTAGGAACTAATTCATAAAAATTAACCACTTGTGGCTAATGTTATAAAAAATTAAAAATATATTTAAAATATTTATTTAATAATAAAAATATATACATGTATTTTGACACGGCCCGTAATAGCGCACTATTCATTTACCGTGAATTAGCACGTTATCCGGTCGTGATTATCAGCTGTCCACCGTCGCACTCATTAGTGTTGACGATAACACAAGTTTGTCTTATCCGGCGGTCGGTAGATAGGACAGGTCAGGGGGTGCAGCACCGCGAGACACGTCGGCGACTATGTAAACCAGTTCATCTGTGACTTACATCCGCCGTACGTGCCGTGTGATCTTTCCATCAGCGCCTTATTGTTTTCTTATTTCGCACCTCACTGTTCACCAGTTTTTATAGTATTATTATAATTTAAAATAAATTTTAGTCTACTCCATAACGGTGTTAACGTTTGTATTATTATTATTATTAACCTTTTAAAAAAATACCGTGTCAATTTATTTCAAAAAATACAAAAATTACTAAAAAATAGTCATGGATACTTTATACACATACAGTATGTGTATAGCATTGTTAAGAGTAACACTGTTATTAAAAAACGTATTCGCAATTTTTTATTTTTTTTTTTTGGGCTTTTGAACGAATAACATATATATATGTTTATATTTTTTAGTTTAAAACTAATATTTTAAATAGATTATTTTCTTTCTTAATTTTAAGTTTGTTAGACATGTATGGTTTCCATTTAAAAAACTGAAATTGAAATTATTAAATCAAACAAAAGAGAAAAAAAAATGTTTTATCACCCCGACTTTCATCAACCTTTTCTTATATGTTTAATATATAATTATTTTTTATTAAAAATAACATTTCTAATAATTTTTTTAAGTAGGGAAAACCTGTAAATCCTATTGGAATTTTACAGATTACGTTTTTCTTAACGACACTAAAAATTATGGAACTGATAGCTTCAACTAAATATGTTTTGGTATCTTTTATAACGATGGGCAAAATTTTTTTTTAGTATGCCGTGTTCTTTTTTTGTTTTTGCATACATTATTACTTCCACTCCTACTAGACAGATTTTAATCAATACGTCAAAATATCATAAAACATCTAGATGAATTTATATAACAACATCGTTTTTAGAAAATTTGCTTAATCCTGGTAATAAAGAAAAATGTTCCAAAAATTGACTTAATTTTATTTATCATAACATAATATTTAAATTAATAAATACATTTTGTCACAGCTGATTTTAACTGTTACTTTGTCGCGTACAAACATACCACAATTTATAAAAAAAAAATTATTATCAAAATAAGGATATGACTAAATTATGATTGCCTATATAAAACCTAACGATGGGAGCTTATGCCTGATCTTTGGCCATATTCTCTTATATATATATACATATACTCATTCTCTTATATATTATATAAAATGCTATTCAGAGGCCCTTAACATAAATACATATCATTTTATTACGTAATATAAATCCTCTTGAGAAGATTTAGACTAAAATGAAAAACTTCTCAAGAATTACAGACAAAAGTAAAGTTGAGAAAATTTACTAGACAATTCAGACCTAAAAAAAAATGTATAGCTATGAAACTTAAAGACTATTAATATGCACCAAATTTTAGGATCTTTTGAAGATTAAAAAAAGAAACAAAAAAAAAACAAGTTACTATAATTGGAGAAAATAAAGTTATTTACTATAAGCTGATGTTACCAGCTAACTTTTACAGCCGCAGAAAATGACCTTAAACATGCCTTGGCACGTACAGACAATAGACAAAACAAAACATAAAAGTTAATCTGCTTCTTACCGGAAACAGAATAGGGACCACAACACAAAAGAAAACATTTTCCAATGAGTTTGTTGACTCCAGGCTATTTGTATGTTCACATTAGAAATTGGTCGCCAACGTTGAAGAAAGACACAGCAGGACTTTTGTGATCATTTCGACATTTACGCTGTTCAGCTTTTGACCATTAAGCTTCGTGAGGTATGACAAATTTCCGATTTATGACATAATACAATCTAAATAAAATGTGTCTAGCAACAAGAATAAACGTAAAGAAACTAATCAAGATTCACTTGAATTGAACCTTTATTGAAATAAATAAATAAAATATAATATAATAAATTACACATGTTAGACAACCAGGTAAAAAAATATATCAACAAAAATGTGCATGACAACACTCAAACATACATATAATTAAACAAATCAAAATAAATAGTAGTAACATCTGACCAAAATGAATTATCAAAAAAAAATCTATGCATTTTGCATGCCATATAAAAACAACAAATCAACCAGAATAATTCAATTAAAAAAATATCAATCTTACATTAATAGAATGTGCTAATTGCCCATTCGAAATAATAAACAAAATATTATTAAGTTCGAAGAAACGACGTTATCTGTACGAGTTTTAGTTAGGAAAAAATATAATTATAAGTTTAGATAAATTCACAACGCATTGTGATTACAAAAATAATAATACAATTGGCAGATAAAGATTATCGCAGTGTGTTTTATAATACACAGAATCGTACAATGCATATTTAGGCGCAAGATACACAATCAATATTCAGCGCAAATGAAGGCGACAAAATTAAATTTGGGTTTAACCATAATCACTAATAAAACACAATCAACGTCACAATTTGTAGATTCAATATGTGTACGCTGTAGAAAATTTCCAGAAATATGAATGTATGAAAAAATCTGAAAGCTATAACATAGCTACCATGGTAATTATTGTATAAGTAAAATCACACATTTAATGAAAAATTAAAAAAAAAATCGCTTACCAAACATAGCAAATAATAATGTTAATACATTATATGTTCGGACTAATTTTTACAACACAAAAAACTCAAAAAAAAAAAATGAGATTAATGGACTAAATAACATGCAATAAACATTGAAAAGTTTCGTAGTGTTTTGATGTTACAAAAACTTATTTCTGCCCATAGCTTTTTTTAGGCAGTATTGGCATAAGGTGGTTGAAGGAACTTTTAAATAAAATCTTATTAGAAGGAAAAATACCAAATGAATGGAGGAATAGAATTGTAGTGCCGATATTTAAAGGTAAAGGAGACATACAGGAGTGTGGAAATTATAGAGGCATAAAGCTTATGAGTCATAGATGAAAATTTGGGAAAAGGTAATAGATAAGAGAATAAGAAATTAGACATCGGTGTCTAAAAACCAGTTTGGATTTATGCCTGGTAAGTCAACAATGGAGCCAGTATTTTGTGTGAGGCAAATAATAGAAAAGTTTAGGGAAAAGAAGAAAAAGCTGTGTATGGTATTTATAGATTTGGAGAAAGCGTATGACAGAGTACCGAGAAAGGTTTTAAAGTGGGCATTAATGAGAAAAGGAGTCCCGAAAAGGTACATTAATATAATAGAAGATATGTATAATGGCACTTGTACCAGTGTAAAAAGCGTAGGAGGAGTATCATTCAGCCAATGAGGCTGAAAGGTAAATTCTACAAGACTGTAAAAAAGCCAGCTATGATGTATGGTT